TGGTAGCCTGCTTAGGATTGCTTACATGCTCACTTCTCTGAAGGACCTCGAGGCTTGGTGGACTTGCTTTCTGGTTTGGATACTGCCTCTGCATCATCACTGATGCGGAGTTGCTCGAAATGCCAAATAGCTGCAGTGGTGATAACCATATGTCAGACAATTGTACTGACAACATGTTCTTGCAGCTGCACTAAGAGGCGAAGCTGTACAGCTTATGCACCAGCATCAGCGGCATGCTTTTTGTAACTAGTTTGGGTCTGCTGCTTCTGGCACTCTTTTCTTCTCTCTATGTGTTTCTTTTGGATGCTGTCTGAATCACTTGTGTTATGAGTGATCTCATGAGGTGGTGAAGCTGATCCGAAAACCTATGGGCAAGTTCATAACCAAAGCGGGAACTTGGTTTCTGTGTAATGATGTGCTTATATTTTTCCTTTTTTTATGTTTTTACAGAGAAAAAGAGAGATCCTTCTTCGCCGTCCCTTTTTCTCCTCCTCATGTTGTTCTTCCTCAATTGGCCAGTGCCTTGGAGTTGAATTTGTATCTCTAGTGCAATCACAGAGGGTTCACTTATACGAAAAATACATTGAGCGGGCTCGGCAATTAGCCGCACAACACCAACCACGCGATCTTCATCTCGCCTCGGAATTGAGAAAGGGTGTTAAGTATAAAGGAAAGGTCATTGACAATGCTAGGCCCACGGATGATGTCTTGGTGTCTTTTGAGGGAAGAGATGCCAAAATAGTCCTTGTAGAAAAGATGCATGAAGATGGCAATTGTGGGTATTTTCAGGGAGGGGATTACGCTGCTGTAATAGCTGGTAGACCACAAGGACGAGGTGGTGGAAGAGGTGGTCTCGACCACAAGGAGGTGGTTGGCAGGGACCGCAATGACAAGGAGGTGGCAAGTTTGGATCTTGCGGTCCAACGAAGTTCCCACCACATCCAGGGTGTGAGGAAGGCCAGCCTTGGAAAGAAATGAACCTGATAGACTCCCAATGGTGCCACGGCGGGGATAACTGACAGTGCTCCAAGCATGGCAAGGAAGGCCACATCATTCCCTTCTGCCTGCAGTGGAACCAGCGAGCACCACAACAAGGGCAGCAACAATCACAAGGGAGTGGTCAGTAGAAATAACAGTTGTTTCTGTTGTGGCTGCTTAGTGGAGAAAAGTCGTGCACATCACTTGCAGGCCAAGGCAGAAGTTAAAGTACTCAACTGTTCAGATATCTATTAGGAGATTGCTTGTTGAAGAGTCTCTTTGAATGGTCCCCTAGACTACTACAATGTTCAGTGGAATACTTGCAAGATAACGTGGTGTAGGTTGAAACAGGGCTGAAAAATGAATTCCTCCTATAGAGCTTTTACTAAGGAAAGTTTAAGATTTGGAGGTACCACTTGTCTCTAGAATGACTGACAATAGTCTGATGAGCATGGGGCAGTACCTTGAGGAGGTTGAGGCATACTAACAGGTGGAGGGTGGAGAGACTCCTTGACTCATCTTGTGGAAGAAAACCTGCCCTTTGATATGGTCTTAGGCATGAATTAGGGAATGGCAGTGAAAGTAGTCATAAACATGGGCAAAGTTGAGGCTTGGTTGCCGTGCCAGGAGAAGAAAGATGAGAAGAAGAACGTTCACCAGTATCATCATTTTGCTTCGAAATTCTCCCATTCCATTTGCTGTTCGAGTGCCCGTGTTCCTTAAATACACAGTAAAGAGCAAGTTGATAGATCAGGTCTATGTGGCCTATGTGACACCTGAAAAGTGGGATAGTCAATGCCATCTCAAGTTCAAAAGTTGTGAGAAGAGTTTGCTGATGTGCAAGAGGAGCTTAAACCACCAATACACGCCCCCAGCCTTGCTGGAAAAAAAAGAACTCGTCACCCATCTGAAAAAGTAGGGGCGGGACCATCATTGATAAATTTAATCGGCGGCGTTTGTCACCTTTCAGCCTCTGAAAGCAGCCCGCAGCCAATTTATGATGTGCACTTGTGGTTTAAGGGAATAGTAGAGAGGCCAATTAAGCACCGCATTAAGATTCCCAAGGGCCCCATTTACCGTCGAGATGGACACAACATGGCACCATAGGAGTTGGGGTTAAGAAACTAGATCCCTAATTGTGCATGGGGCTGGATCAAGCCAAGTTCATCTCCCTATGGTGAACCTGTTTTGTTTGTTCATAAGGACGGACAATTGAGATGGTGTATGGACTGTAGGGGTCTGAATGCCATAATGGTGAAGAATGCAGAACCACCATCTCTTGTAGGCGAATTGCAGGAGAGGTTATAGGGTTGTAAGCATAGTTGTGGCACACCAGTGCGCAGTGTGGGACAGGTGGTTCGCAGTGCACTGTGCGCTGGAATTACAGTGCGCACACTGTGCAGTGCGCAGTGCGCGCGCTGCAGGCGGTGTGCCAGGTGCATGGAAAAAAAAGGTTGGTGCGTGCCACAGAGAGAGAGAGAGAGAGAGAGAGAGAGAGAGAGACCAAAAGGACCCCTTTATGTCAATTCAGGGCCCCCTGCAGGTAACTCAAATGGCTGAGACAATGCACTTGGACATTCTGGAGGCATTGAGGACCGTCGATTCAGCAAGCAGGATGGGAGCGTCATATATGGGAGAGGTGGGAGAAGACCACCGATATATGCTGCGGGTGCGAGTTCAGGTCTGTAGCTCGGGAGTTATGGGTCACCAATTCAGCTCAACCCTGTTCGTCTCCACGTAATTCTCAGGGCCTAGCTCCACCACTCACCAAATATATAACATTAGAATGAATCTTCTCCAAAAACATTGCACCATACACCGCCATATGGTATGTCTTTTGTGCATGCGGTGAGTAGTGGCGAGAGGCCCCTCGGGCCACTGTACGTATTCTTAAGAAAACGAAAAGAAAAGAGAGCTACAGGCGTCTTCATCCTAACCCATAACTGCAGACATGGAGACCTGAATTTTAACGAGCGTGAGGCTGAGGGTGAGCCGAGGGAGAGGAGAGAGAGGGGGAGAGTGAGAGCACACACACACACTCACTCACTCGACACGACGGACTTGGACTAAGGATCGGACGCAGACACAGTGGCAAGGCACAAAGTCGAAGTCTTGGATTCCCGAATGCCGAAAACAGCAAGTCACATTGAGTACGAGTACAGCAGCCGAGAACTGGTACGAGACTGGTCCCCGTACCGTACGGGGAGCCGGTATAAGTACCGGTGACACATACGGTACTAGGGGCATTTCTGCAAAGGCCCCGAGGGCAGAACTGAAAAATGCAGTATTTGAAAGTGGCGCCCGAATTGCAGCATGGCGCCAGTTGTCCAAAATCCTACGGTACCAAAGGAGGGGTTTGGAAAAAGGGTGCCAGGCCGAAAACGGGATGCAGCTGAAACAGCAAAAAGATAGACCAGGGATCGAGCCCTGGCGAAGTCCGTAACACTATCCCCTCCCTCTAGAAGGCAACGTCCTGGCCGCCAAAAATCATGAAACAATGCTGAAATCTGTGAAGGACGGGACGGGGCCGATCACTGGTTAACAAGTCGAAAGGGAAGAGGGGTATAATGTGGGTGGCAGGGGCTGCGGGAGTGAGAGGGAACAGGGTTTGATACCGGTGAACAAAGTTGTCCTACTGATGAGCTAAGGGGACTCATGGTTCGCTATAGGTTAAGGGGGAACAGAGTTCAGGGCACAGGGAAACTTCTATTGATGTTCTACTGGGTAAGGTTGTAGTGGTTAAGGGAAACAATGGTCAGGGGAACAGGGGATGTCTATTGATGTTCTAGTGGGTATGGGGAACAATGGTTGGGAAAACAGGGATCTGCTAATGATGTTCTACGGGGCTGTCAAAGTCAGAAAATGTTTGTTCAGGGTGCCAAGGCTGGTGTGTCCGAAGTAGTCGGAAGCAGAATCTCATGTAGGAACAAAGTGTCCAAGTGTCTTGAAAGGGGGTCTGCAGCGGACTTGATAAGGTCTTTGGAGTAGGTGGTAGAAGCGGTCTTCAGCAGCTGCGATAGGTAGAAGTCCAAGAAGCGTAGTAGTAGTTCAAGTGTCAAAGTCCAAGTGCTAGGGTGCATCCGGCACACGAACTGCAATGAGGTCTGATCTGGAAGCAAGGAAGTTGCAGACTGATGCAAAGATCCATGTCACAAGTTGCTGCTCCAGTAAATCTGCGAGTCGGGGATGCCGGCCAATGAAACAGCATGGTGGCCAAACCAGCTGCATAATCTCCATGAACAGTGAGGCAGCAGGCCATCGTCCTCGTGCGCTTGCCATTARATCCTTYATCGCCKGCRTCACGCAAGTTCACAAGCATTGGACAAGAGAGACAAGGTAGTGGAGAGGGCAGATGGGACAAGGCTAGGCGAGGGCAAGGGCAGATCAGACATCAGGAATGAGGATCAAGGGAAGGGTGGACTGGGTTCAAGGGTGTGTGTAGAGCAGGGTTGCAAGGGTTTTTAGCGGGGGTTTATGCCATAGTGATATAGGTATCTAGGACATAGGATTAGCACGATCATAGGCGCGGACAAGTTTCATGGCRTTCTTAAGATTAGAGAGAGGTTCCCATGTAGATTCTTCGTCGGGGTATCCGGTCCATTTGACTTTGTATTCAGTGATTGGTTCCGGATGATCAGAAACCTGAGTGGTTCGTCGGCCGATGATGGTTTCGACAACGAATTCAGGGTCTGTGGGTAGCATGATTGGTGGAGGTCCAGGATATGGGCGGTCGGCGAACTGGAGCGGGGATTCATGGTATTCTTTTAGGTACTCGACATGGAAGACTGGGTGGACACGACTAATGTCAGGGGGAAGTTGGAGTTTGTAGTTGACGGGGGAGGTTTGTTCAATGATGGGGAAGGGACCGAGCCACTTGTTCGAGATTTTCTTGGATAAGCCTTGTTCGGGTTCAAAGCGTTTGGCAGAAAGCCAGACTTTGTCCCCTACTTTGAATGACACGTCCCGTCTGTGTTTGTTAGTCTYGTTGGCTKGTTGTTCTTGTGTTCTTTCAAGGGCTTCAGTTGCTTCTCTGAGGAGTCTGTTCATTGTTGCTATCCATTCATTGAGAGAGGGGCAGGGGGTGGAGGGGCTGAGCTGCGAGGGAAGCACGAAATCAAAGGGCAAGCGGGGATGGTAGCCAAGGTCGAGGTAGAAAGGGGACATGCCAGTGGAGGGGCAGACAGCATTGTTGTAGGCAATTTCGGCGGCTGTGAGCAACTGATCCCAATCGTGTTGGTGTGGATGACAATACTCCCGCAGGATTCTTTGGAGTGTATCGTTCCAATGGAAAGGCTCGTCCTTGCGGGTGAGTTCGTGGAGAGGGTAAGAGATCTCGGAAAAGTTGCGAATGAATGGGCGGTAATAGTTGGCAAGGCCAAGGAAGGAACGAAGTTGGAGGAGGGTCTTGGGTGGGGGGTACTCGACGAGGGCTGTGACCTTCGAGGGGTCCATACGGATGCCTTTAGCGGAGACAATATGGTCGAGGTATTCGACGCTCGAAGCGGCAAACGTACATTTGCTGAGCTTGGCATAGAATTTTTGCTCTCGGAGGATCGCGAGGACTTGGCGGAGGTGCTGAAGGTGGGACTCGAAGGTGGGGCTGAAGACAAGGATGTCATCAAGGTAGACAACGACACAGACTTCGAGGAGGTTGCGGAAGATGTGGTTCATGGTGGATTGGAAGGTAGCGGGGGCATTGGTGAGTCCGAATGGCATCACGAGGAACTCGTAGTGCCCGAATCGAGAGCGAAAGGCGGTCTTGTGAGTGTCCTCCTCGCGGATACGGATCTGGTGGAAGCCACTACGAAGGTCGATCTTGGTAAAGTACTTGGCTCCACGAAGACGATCAAGGAGCTCGGAAGTCCGAGGTAGGGGGTACTTGTTCTTGATCTTGATCCGGTTCAAGGCGCGGTAGTCTGTGCACATGCGAAGTTCCGAAGTTCCACCTTTCTTGACGAAAAGGCAGCTGGTTCCGAAGGGGGATGAACTTCGCTTAATGAACCCTTTTTCAAGGAGTTCATCGAGTTGCCGTTTCATTTCTTCGGCTTCGGGGACAGAGAGTTGGTATGGAGGGCGACAAGGTGGAGAATGTCCGGGTTCCAAATCGATGGTATGCGATACGCCACGATCCGGAGGTAGTCCGGCGGGTAAGGACTCGGGAAAGACGTCCCTGAACTCKTCGAGGATTGAAGTGATRGCGGGGTTGGMSGGMRGGGCTTGATCGGGTTTGTCCGTCGGGAGTARGTCCTTGGGACTTTCGCGATCAAGGACAAGACAGTAGTAGGCGGAGTCGGGGTTTAGGCGAGCCATGTGGAGGAATTGGTGCGGGGTGACAGAGCCTTGGGAGGTTATGGGAGATAGGGGATGTCAATGGTTGTGGCGGGGGGGTTGGTGAGGCGAAGGAAGTTGGGGTGGAATGCGTATGGCATGTAGCGGTCCAGCCACGGGGTTCCTAAGATGATGTCGCACATCAAGTGCATGACATCAAACGAGACCTGACTGCGGAGGGTTCCGACGATCATGATGGTCTCGGGAACCGTGTGGTCTACTACGACGGCGGTGTCTTTGTCCCCTAGGCGAATCGTGATCGGGGAGTCATAGCCGGTAGAGGTAAGACCGGCTTTGCGGACACACGCGTCGGTGATGAAGTTACCGGTGGCTCCAATGTCGAGGAGGGCCCGRAACTTAGTTGTAGACGCACCAAKGGTGGCAACGATGAATTTGAGGTGGAAACGAGATGAGTTGGCGGTGGAGATGATGGTGTTGAGGCGGCGTTGTTCGTTGCCTAAGCGGGCAAGCCGATCGTGTCGGGCTTGTTCCTCAACAACATCGGAGAAGGTGATAGCGGATGCATTTGGAGGAAGGGTAGAGGAGCATGAGGCAGTGGGAGGTGTTTGCGATGCTTGGGAATCGTCCGATGGAGGGGGCGTCGCTGGAGAGGGGGAAGGCAAACGAATCGTTGAAGTCAGATGGGCCATCGGTGCGACGAAGGATGTTATTGATGGGTAGGCTGACAGATGCAATGTTGATATCGGGTCAGTGTCCTGGGGACTGTGTTCATGATGAGGAGGGGCCCCCCGCTTGCCGAGGGCGGTGATGCGGAGGTTGCGGGTCGCGTGGAGGCAGACTGACGGGTGAATCGTGCGGCGTTGGGGCAGTTGGTTTGTTGGTGCCCCAATTGGCGACAACGGAAGCAACCCCCTTYTGCTTGGAGGTAGGTGCGCTCCTCGGGGGTGAGTTTCTTGAGGCGGGAGGGTGGGGTAGATGAGGGTGGTCGGGAACTGCGATCTCTGCGCTCCATTCTCATGATTTGGACGACATCGAGTTCCTCGGACGTGAGGGGTGAAGAGTCGAGTGAATCGGAAGATGCGTCGGGGTCAGATGTGGTGAACTCGTCTGAGGAAGTGATGGAGGTGGTGTCGTCGGGGGTGATGTGGTGGAAAAAGCGGGTGCGGGAGGTGCCGGGGGGGGTCTGGTGGGGGGGGTGGAGGAGTCGATCGTGGTGGAGCATACGAGAGAGGAGGTCAGCAAGGGGCATGTCGGGTTTGTGGGCGAGGGCGGTTGCAAGGTCTTTGTGGCATACTCGTTTGATGCGGGAGATGAACGCACAATCGGGAATGACGGTGTGGGGGAGGTGGTGTCGGAGGGAGCGGACGTATTGGATGAAGCGGTCCGTGGGACCGGTTTGGCGGAGGTGGCAGAATTGTTCAAGGTAGTCTTCAATGGTTTTCTGGGGGCGGAAGGTGGCAGTGAGGAGGGTGGCCCATTGGAGGAAGGTGGGGCGTGGTCCTCCGGAGGCTCGGTGGTTGCTAGCTTCAACCATCCACCATTTGGCTGCATTGCCRAGGAGGCGGGAGGTGKCAATGGGGAGCCAGTGGGCAAGGGGCATGTGGTGGAGCTGAAAAGAGTTCTGAAGCTGGGTTAGGAAGAGGAAAACGTCCTCGTGGGGGAGRCCGGAGAAGGACATGATTTCGCCAGATCGGAAGGAACGGGGGATTTCCCCGTCGCGGTGAACGATCTGCGCGAGGGTGTTGAAGCTGAGGTTATCGGGGGCGGTGTCATAGCAGGTGTGGTCGATTTGGTTGTTGTCCTCAAGGAGGTAGTTGGGTGGAAGCTGTGGCATTGCGGGGAAAGCCCCGGATGTGACTTGGGAATAGGTGGGACGGATGGTGGGGATGGTGGAGGTGGTCATGATGGGTTGGGAGAGGGTTTGGGAGTG